TCACGGTGTTACGCTCAGATGCATTTTCAAATGAGAGCAAGGTCAGCACAGATGCAATCGGGAAGAGAGATGATATCAAAGCATGCCACAACTTTTTCCGTTCATCGTTTCATTTCGCCCAAATCCTCGATCAGATCTTCGTCAATCTAAAAAGGAAAACAGGCAGATGACTCATTCAATCGTGAAAGCAAATTTCAAAAAGAAACCAAGTGTTGAACAAACCATGAACATTAATTTTGCATTAAGCCCTTTCGTACTAAACTGGCCTACATGGTATCGATCTGAGAGATTAGAGGATAGGTAATAGGGCATAAAAAACCATCATCATCATTTTACAGCGTAGTACAGTGAAGCCAACTTCACTGATCGCTGCCAAACTCATATTGCATACAAGGTAAGTGCTAATGTGCAGGGAGAATCGGGGTTAAACCTATTTTTAGGGACGGGAAAAGAAAGCGAACCTCTATGGTCAACACACAGTTCAACTGTGCATGCATACCATTTCAAGCATTCTGGTCTGATAAGAAGTGACGGCAAGCTCGCCATTGCTGTCGGTTCGCAGCCATGGCCTTCAGTGTCTCCAACCATGCGGTTTTGGACTCCAAAGCCTTTAGTTTTTACAAGAACCTAACCGCATAAAACATGAACTACACGGTCCGAACGCTGAAAATAAGGAACAGAAAATGGAACCAAGCGAGCCGCATGGTCGGTTAGCAAAAGCAGCCGTGTGGAAGATATCACTTCGAGCGATACCATTCAAGGCGATTATAAGGCAAAATGAGAAGCAAAAGCGAGTAATGAAATTAAGTCCGCGGATAACGTGCGCAGGTATAATAAACTACCCGGGGAAGAAACCGGTCTTGAGTGCAACCAAAAAAGGCAAGGAGTTAGATGATTAGTGCATGAAAGTGTTTCTAGCATTCTTATCGTCTTTAGACTTCTCGTTTGTAAGTCGATTGTTGGGGACTCACAGTCACTCCCTATGAACATTTGAGACGTTTATGCCGCGGTTTTCAATTTACGAGTTATATCACTCAGTTTCCAACTGCACTGTATTTCACACACGTCTGACGCCAGACTGTATGCCAAACAAATCCTAGTACAAAAATGTTTATATAAAAGAGAATTTTTTAATAATTTGTTTGTGGGCTGAATACTGCGAGGTTGCCCACACCAAGATGGGTGAATTTTCTACAGGAATTCACAACCGGGGCCTTCGGATAGGCAGAGTGACCCGCAAGGCAGCGGGGCGGTGTGTGGAAACCGAAATCGATTGGGGGCCTGTGTTCATTACATCGTATCATATGCCCTTCGAACGGGGTCAAACGTTCAAGGTGCCCAAAACACCTCGATGCCCAATCGAGTGGGTAACCACTGTCACATCTAGGAAGGTGTGGGTGGTTGTGGTTCGTACTCTCTTCTTGGTTAGTTTGCAATTAAGGCTTTTGGCCAAATCCTTTAGGTGAAGTGCCAGTTATTGACCGACCCGGTTATAGACTCGGATTTTGGCTTTTCGTCGCCTCACTTTAGTGGGGAAATACCTCCGTCAAGAGAAGACAGGGCTTCCTCAGCAGAGGTTGTTTGAGACACCTGGTCATGTAGGAGCATTTCGTGAGTTATAAGGGAAGGGTGATCAGCCACAACCCAAGATATCCACCCCAACTAAACTAAGGCTTTCGGAGTTCCCAACTAACAATATTCGTCATTCCACACAAGCCGATCCACGTGACCGGAAGAAGGTAAACACGTCATCGGATCTCATCATTGTTCGCATAACGTTGCTATCGAATAAGGGCAGTGCCCTGGAGACAGCAATGATCTAACACTGGAATTCGTCCAACATTCTCGATGCGAGGTCGTGATCGTGGATCAAAACGCTTGTAACTGTGGCACTGGATACCAGTCGCATCAGAAACAAACGAAGTTCGTGTTGGCGTTACGGTGATGCGGGTTGGCGAGTGCCATTTCAACTTTTGTTTTTGCGATGAAACTGCCAACAGCTACTTGACTCCCGAGTTAGGTAACGCTGATAAATAAAATTCAATTGATCACCAACAAGTGGTTGCAGGAAAAGGTACCCGACAAACTCGGAACTGTATCCTGTGGTTTGGATGGAACATGTCACAAACCATAATTTCGGCATCTGATCGTTGACATAAATCTGCACAAGAACTTCCCGGTAACCGACCTAGTTCTGGTTCTGACGAGCACAAGGGGGTTGAAAACAGAACTGCTCATCTAATATGAACATTAACTGGAACTTTAATTTATTCAAAGTGCTTCTTTTATGTGGCTGGTAAACGCTTATTTTTGGGCAGAATTGTCACCACTTGACAGCAGATCTAATTGAAATTCGAACAAAATGGCTGCGTATGTTTGTCATACAAACACTGACACAATCTACCGGTATATCCAAGTGGCTCAAGCAAGTGAACTTTGCAAACACGCATACACACACCTTCACCGAGAGGAGCGAAACCCGTGGGCACATGCTACATTCGCAATTCTATTCCTTGCAAAGAGTACCATTTCACTGGATGTAAGAATTTTCCAGATCCTAGTCCGCAAAATGATAAGCACCTCCACCAACTTTATCTATCCGTGCAATCTACGTGAGTTTATTTTCAACTTATCTATTCACATGCCATCTGGATTCATTCGCCTCGAAGCAGAAACAGCAATGCAACTACACTGTTTCAGTGTAAACATTGCTGTCAAACACAGACCTCTTATTCCTTGTCCGAGCTCCTTCTCGTACTGGACACACCGCTGGATTCGACAGATAATGATGGGCTGCTGATCGAGCTGGTGGATAACGCAGCGGAATTGAAGTCCATGCTGAACAAACATAAGCTGTCATAGTTACCATTTAAATCTTTTGAATGAATCTGGTTGGCAAGCTAAACTTTTATTCACCATCAGAGCACCATAGCAATATATCGCGCTGACCAGATGAAGAAGCCTCATATTGCCCTCAGATGTGCAGAAAGGGTACCTCTAGGAAGGACCTGACTGGAACAGTCAATTGCCTTTAGACATGAGCATGATCACCATCGTACAGCGAAATACAGCGAGGCGAACTTCACTGATCGCTACCAAACTCGAAATACAAGGTAATATTCAAGGTGGACAGGGATTGGACCTATTTCGAGGGAGGAGGAAGAAAGCGGACTTCTATGGTTAACACACAGAGTACATAATCGAACCCTGCATACAAACTGTCTCAAGTATTCTGGCCTGATAAGAAATGACAAAAAGAACACCACTGCTGTCGGTTCGCTGCCATATCCTTCAATGTCTCCAAACAATCAGTTGCGGAGTCTTTCGGACCCCAACCTCAAATGCGCGAGATACTTATTGTTGTTTTTACAACCACCCGGTTGCCAATACCATCAGTGAAAGAACCGCTATCTCCCCACGCCAAATCTAATTGTATCTATCAGTTCAAGTGTGGATGCTCGGCCATCTACATCGGCAGAACGGAGAGAACTGCGTTATCGAGTAACCGAGCACATCCTGGTCTGGCTTCAGAAACAATGAGTGGGAACTTCGGAAGTATGAGATCACCAATGACGCGTAGGAAACTAAGTTCGTCGATCACACAACACCTAGTCGAAATGAAACACCGTGTCATGCTGCGCGACGCGTTCAGAATCCTCTAAAACACAAATAACACCAAGGTTCTGAAACACGCCGAGGCACTAGCCATTCAAAATTACCATCCCGAACTGTGTAAACTGCGTGAATGGCTTATCACTCTGGCGCTAACTTGGTAACATATGTGTTTGGTGAGTAATTTTGACCGCATTCCTTCTCCGCCTATGATTCTACTATTTACTAACCATATATTAATGATCACATAGACTGCAGTATGCACGTGTACAGATGCAGCGAAATGATCCAGGATACATTGTGCAAACCTATTTTTTGGCTTCTTTATTCAAATAATTATTCTACATTATGGATCTGTGCATTTCTTTAGGCCTCGTCTCCACGTCATCTGTTGACCTCCACGTGGTTTCCTCCAGCCCGGGGCGGCTACAGCGAATAAAGTGCGGTGCAGCAGACGACAGCAGGGCACACACAATACGTGCCCTAGCCAGCGAAGCTTACCAATCTGAATTCAATGTGCTAGCAGGTCAAATTCGGATTAGCAGACTTTGCTGGCTGAAATTAGGAGAGCAATTGTGTAATTGCGATTTTTTGGACTTCGTTTGGTTCAAACACTAGTACTGCACTCCAGAAAAACGCAGGTCCTGTAAAAAGCTGCCAAAACGCGATAGGAAACTCACTTCGGGCCATTTTTCTGTTAGAATGTCAATAACTTCGTCTTTCACATCACCTTGAATCACTATTTCATCGCCATTTCCGGTCACTGAGCTGCCTGTGGCGAATTTCTGACCAAACACCTTGGATGCAGCTTTCAATTCGATCCCTGTGCACATATCAAGACACAATATAGACAAAAATAAAGTAGTTTGCTAGTAAGCAAGGTGCCAACACCTCGACGATAATAACAACAGGGGACGAGGGGATTGGGATATAGAATGAAATGGCGTTACAATGGACAAAAGAATATAAAAAGAATAATAACAACATCTATAAATTAGGCGTTGCCGGAAGCCAATCGGTGTAAAGCACGAGCACGTAGGTTATGTGTGTGGAGCAAGTGCTCGATCCTCACGGATGGCTCGGGCATGAGAGTTACGCACGTCACTAGATGGGTTCACTCAGCATGCGATGTTGGCTGAGACTGATAGTGGGTGGAAGATGGCCAAAGTAGAGCAAACAAACACCTACCATGAGGGGATAAAAACCATAATCAGGGGACGGATGTGAAGGTCGTGTTAGGCTTCCTGTCTGAGGGACTCAGTTTCGGTCGAATGGTTGGTTAGAGACACCTGAGTATCGCAAATTTATTTCACTGATACTCTATCTGTACGCTTTCTACTTCCGCTCCTTAATTCTTCATTAGATTGATGTTTATAAAACTGTTGTGCTTAACAAACGTCCAACATTTGAGAATTCGTTTAAATATTTGTTACCATCATTCAAGAATCTTGGCTGAACGAAAATATCGACGACACACTTGTTTATATTGATGCTTCTCACTACGTCCGGCAAGAGAGAAACAATTCAGAAAGATTGTCACTGGTTTAAAATGACCTGACAAACTTCGAATGGTCTTGAGCTAATCCTCGAATGGTACGGATTGTTTGGCTGTCAACATTCCAGGTCAATATAATAAGTAATGTGAACATTTCCCTATTTTTCACACAGATACACTAGTTCGCTCAATGATGCCTCCTATACCCTTTTGGGTTTCCTCCACTTTCTAAATTACAAAGCGGATTTCAAACATGCACACATTTACCCCCTGATTATTCTGTCTCGTCGCGACCAGAAGTAATGCTATTTTAGACGGAGCGTGAACTGAAAAGTTGGAATTACTGGCAGCCGCTGCAGTTTTCTCAAAAGATCCCTATGTCTTATTGACCATTGGGTTTTCGTCAAAAGCTCCACTCAAAACCTAGAACTATTTCCCTACACACCAAGGGAGCTTTGACTTGTGGTATCTGTCTCAGATCCATTTTTCATAATTGTGGGCTCGCCTATCCGCTATTGAAAACACAGACATGACGTGAAGTTTGACCGCGCAGGAGTTGGCTCCACTCTATTCATTTGAAACAAGAGATCCCACATTTGAACAAAACACTTGCCCGCCGACTTTAAGCAGTCCCTACCGGCAACATAAAGTGACACTGAATTAATTTATGCGGCCAACGTGCACGATCTGATATTCTCATCCTGATCCTGAGAACCTAAATGTTGCTTAGATTCATCAAATGGCAAATATATTTTCATCTCACGTATCCTGGTGTCCATCCGAAATTAAACCGGTTGCCTCTGAAAAAGTTTTCAAGCCTTTCAAAAACACCAAATTAACAGCCAGATGGGCCCTAACGGTTTCCTTCCTACGCAATGGAACCACGAAGAAGACCCGCATAGGCATAAAATGACTGCACTTGTCACCAGATCTTGTAAGGGCGGCGTTATCTCCCTCAGCTTCATGGAGAACCTCAAGTGTTGCTTCAACTCCCAATGACTTTTTCACCGACGTGATATTCAAAAGCTCTCGATCTATCGGTACGACCTCTATCGGACTGAAAATAAGGGAGTGGGCTATCCTCAAGCGCTCAAGATTTCCCTTCGCAATCCCGGATGACTAGTATAAATTTGCATGCCAGCGAAACAGATGTAATCTGGATCCGGTACTCCTCTGTCATTCATTCGATTGTTAAATATTGCAGCAAGTTATTGGCCACTTTTTATATTACTCCTTTTTTTACTCAGCTCCTAAAAAACTAGAATCTTCCTATTGTTCCCGAACCTAGCTTATACGACTGAAAAACTACTTTTCCAACTGAAATGAACGTACAATGTTTATAAAAAAGTTTCGAAAATCAATATTGAATAAATATTTTCTTCAGAGTGTAGTTTTGTCTGCTAACCAAGTAATTAGTTGCAAGCTGTCTGTGTTGCGGGGGTCACAGGGTTGTAATCCTTTTGCAGTACACAAAGATTCTGGCATTATTGCGAAACGTTACAAATAGGAAAGTGACGAGGAAATTAACTAGCCTGATCACAGAAAATGAGCGGAAGTATGTAAAATAAATTAAAACACGGATATGGAAGATGACAGTAACTTAAGGAAATTGAATCTTACCGAATGTGGACAAACCAATTACGCTGGTTGTGTACTTTTTCTTTCCACGAGATGTTTTAAAAACCTGGATTTTCTGTTTCACGGTTTTCCGAGATGTGCCTTTACCTCCCCGAACTTGACGTCCCTTCGTGGGTGCATCAGACGATGGAACAGTGCCATCTTCTTCTAGGGTTTTGTTTTCAAAAATGATTGATGAGCATTACTTGTGCTTAACAGTTCGAATTCCTCGGGGAGATTTTTCTCTAACCATGCATGACATTTATCTTGAGCTGGAGAAAATTCGCAATATTCCAGTGGCATCGTGCATTCTGGTAAGGTACAATGTTTGAACTGATACAAAAATGAGACAAACCTCCGCAGTATTTAACATTCAATGGGTACTCTACACCAGGGACGGGACCAGCCCGTTCCATGTACTGATATCCAGAAGCCATTTTAGTACAAATTAGGATCGATCACCTAAAATTGATGCATTTGGTTTGTATACACTAAACAAGATTTACAAAACTTTTGTCATGGATATTTTTCTTTGTTTTTTCACCACGCAATTACGCGGTGAACAGCAAGAATGAACCCAGTCACGCAGACGAAAACTGGTAAGCCCCGGGAATTGGATTGGCGAACCCCATAAGGTCACACTACTAGTAGTGTTAGTATAGAGCCACCAAAGTTGAGTGGTGGTGGGTCTGTGGATCCCAATTAGAGTTTTTAAAATCGTCATCGACTCTGACGATCTCGTTGCTCTTGTAACGTCACCACGTGAAGTATCTATCAAAGGGAGCACCGCGTCATTGACAGGAATGACGTCATTCCCATTCAGTTCAGTTTCAGTTTGTACAAACATTGACCATGCACCGTCAAGCGCCGGTTTTAGTCACTGTCTCGTGACTGCCCACTTGGATGAACAGTAGGGGAAAGACAGGAAAGTTGAAAGTAGAGTTGAAGAGAAAATGGAGAATTTCAGTTAACTAAGATTGCAAATAATGAGACAAATCCACTGTTAGTCCATGCGCGTATCATAGAGGGGAATTCGAGGACGTTCTCTCCTTGGGACCAGTGGGCAATTCAAAAGGACTCAGCCTCTGGCTGCCAGATTTGTCCGGTATCATATCCCTCGGGATCGCTATGAAAACCCAGTTTGAGTGTGGGTGTATCCTCACACATGCAGTGTCACCCCTCCTATGCCTGGTACAGCATCCATCGACGCGGTAAACTAAATAGCCTGGGACAGCCACCTCCGTGTCTGATACATCGTCTGTGGGCGATATCTCCGTCAGTGCCACGATAGTCGATGATTTGCGCGATACCAAGGACCCCAGCTTGTTACGCTTGCTCAGCAGTCCTGTTATGCTGGTCAGCAGCACATTCGCCTGCCGCCGTTGGTTGACACCCTTGAATGAGTCGCTCCTGGTGGGATCCATTTCACTACTCGAAAATCCCGAATATATAGATTAATTTCTCCATTAGCCCTTTGTTCACGTTGAGGCTTCCCGGCTCCCTGGCTGGGGCCCCAAAGCCTCAGATTGTCTTTGGCTGGAGACACTGCGGGATATGGTATCGAACCGGTCAGTGGCGTGAAAGCATCCTTTCCTGTGTACAATCCCAAAAAT